AGGCGGGGCAACGTGCACGTCGGAATGTCAGGCGAGGGGCACTCTGAGGTCTGGAGGAGGGCTGAGGTCACCACGCCGATGTGAATGAGGAACCCCTGGAAGGGAGGGGCGGCTCTCCTTTGCTGCAGTGGATTGGACTCGCACGGGGCCACGTGGCACGATTCAGGTCTGCGTGGTAGAATTGTTAGGGGCTATTTTTACCAAGACAGGAATTTGTGGCGCCTGGGAGAGCGGATACCATGTAGGGCACAGGAATGACCTGGAAAGAGATAAGATCGGAGCAGAGCTGAGTATATAAAAGAATAATAACCACGGCCTGGGGGTATGATCCCAGAAGTACAGTCTAAGTCTGTGAAGCAGCAGGGAACGCTGACCCAGGTGAATCCGTCCTCTCAGCCATTGTCCAAGTTTTGGATAAACAGAGCCTCTGTGGCTGGGGACTCGGTGAGGCAGTGTGTCCCCTCTCCATGGCCTTGCTGCTGGGTCACGACTCAAGAAAAGACAGACTTAGTATCGAGTCTGCACATCACACGTCAGTTTTTGGCATGCATGCACAAAGTCACTTGTTCACCCTGTTCTAATAGCTGAGTGAGGGTTCCAACCGCCGTCTTCAGGAACTCCAACCAATGCCTTGCATGGAAACTTTGCAAGGAGGTGGCGGCAAGACCAGCCAGGCTTGGAGGGCAGAGTCCTGGTGAGGTGGACGGACGCAGGACCAGCCTGGCTTCAGACAGTGAGTGACCTGAGGTGATGAGCTTGCCAAACTTGCACATGGAAGATGCTCTCAGGGTGCAGAAGTGAACAGGTATGAGGGCACCGGTGCGTCCTGCCAGGTCAGGGACAAAGCACTGAGCAGAAGCCCAGGAGAAGGGCTGACCGTGTGAGAGGCTCAGAGACCCCGCCAGGGCACAGGAGAACGGGCAGGCGCTTTGCTCTCCTGAGCAGTGCGGAGCCTGAAGCCAGATCAAGGAGTGGAGGCACCAAAGAAGCCAGAATACGCACACGGAGGGAAGGAGTGAGGACGTGCTGTTAACCCGGGCATCCCGGGCTCGGGTGCGTGCAGCCGAGGGTCCGGGTGGACCAGCGCACCAGCAGGGAGCCGGAGGGCTCTGTCTTTCTCGCTCGGCCTGCGCGGAATCTGAAGCTTATTTTAAGATCACAACACATGACACAGATAAGAATTTTTGTTTAAATGAGAAAACAAATCACAGCAAAGTATCATTTATATGGAAGCACTCACACAAATGAATGAATAAAGGAACTGCTACCGGTCAATTTTATTTTCCTATAATTTTGGATGGATATCTTTTTACGTGATAGTGATTTTCTAGAAAAAGCTGGAAAGATAAGTTAGTCTTTGCCTCAACTTGCCTGTGTGAAATCGATTGGTGTTGCTGAACACAGAAACACACAAACCACGCAGCCTCCCCTGCAGGACCGCCGGCCGCCTGCGCTGCTGAAGTGGACGCGTGCTCCACGAACTCCACGATGCTGATAAATTCCATCTCAGGAGGTATCTATCAAAAAGGGAAAAAATGCAATTCTAAATATCACTGCTGCTTTACTGAGGACATTCTGATGGGGGGAAAATTCATCTTGATGAGGAAATCTGCCTACGATTTTACAAACCTGGGAACTGGAAGACATTCCCATAGACTCCCTCCTGACGCTAACGCTGTACGTTTGGAAACTCGCCTCAAGCATCACTGCAGGCTTTGATGCCAACAGTCGTGGGATGTGTTCCTATCACAGGCCCTCTGGCCTGGGTCTTTGCATGTGCCTGATGAGTTAATGGTAGAAACAGCTACCGGTAATTTAATTATACAGGGAAGTGACGGCAAACTCATTAATCAGGTTAAATTACAGGCTAAATATATCCTGAAAGCAGCTCCACAAATTAGCCCCCACAATGCCCGTGGCCGTTCAATGCCTGCAGCCACGAGAGGAAGGTGGTCTGCTCCTTCTCGGCCAGCTGTTGCCCTGAAGCGTGGGGCACCTGGGCACTCCAGTTATAATCGTGAGAACGTTATGTTGAGAAATATGGATGTGTTTATGATATGTTGCTCTTAAAAGCAGAGACATGTAAACTTATCTACAAAAGAGAGACAGACTCACAAACATAGTGAAAACCTTTACGGTTACTAGGAAAGGGGGTGGGAAGGGATAAATTGGGAGTTGGAGATTTGCAATATTAACTACTATACATAACACATAAACAACAAGTTTCTACTGTACAGCACAGGGAGCTATACTCAGCATCTTGCAGTAGCCTGTAATGAAAAAGAATCTGAGAAGGAATATATGTCTGTCCACGTATGGCTGAAACACGATGCTGTGCACCAGAAATGGACGCGACATTGGAAACTGACTGTACTTCAACTGAAAAAAAAAGCAGACACACGGAAAGAATCTGAAGTCAAAAAGAACGTGATTTTTGACCAACAGGGAGCCTGGGGCGGGTAGTCACGCTTACACATCGTGGAGACAGAGTCAAGGGGCAGCTGTCAGCTCGAGCTGAGTGGCCCTGCATGGAGCCTGAAACACGTGCGCGCACAGCACCGCGCACTTTGTTGTCGGGTTTCTGTTTACAGTTTGCAGGAGAAGGGGGAGCCTCGCCCTGCTCCAGGCTAGCCTCGTGGGTCCAGGTCTTGTGACGAGGAGTTGCCCCACACATGGGATCCGAACTGCGTTCTGATGCTGTTCAGAGCACAGACCCTCTCGGATTCTATCCCGCTAATGCCTAGAGACAATATTCTATATATTTCACCTTTCGTGTTGTGGTGGCTGAAAAATTCCAGCCGCGAAGCTGTGCTTAGGAGCTGAAACTGCTCCCAGCTGAAACCAGGTGCCTGCACACCACCTATACTGTCTCCTCGGAGACTGAACGCTCAAGCTCCCACCACCGTCAGCAAACAACCAAGTTCGCGGCAGGAAGCGCCGACCCAGCTCACCAACAAAACGGAGCCCAGCACGTGGCAGGCCGGGCTCGACTGAAATTGTGGTCGGTGATTGTGTTTCCCAAATAAACGAATAACCTCCTTCCCGGGGCTAGATGCTGCAAAGCCGGCTGTGCAACCACAGACCCAGGACCGCTGTGCTCATCTGGGGTGGACTAATCCTTTTCTGACGAGGAAACTACAAGGAATTACTTATAACAGATTTGTAAGACTCCTGAGGATGGACCGTCTACTTCCAAATGCATGAAGTCACATATCTTCCAACCGACAAGCCACCCCCTGGACGGTGCAATATTCCAGTGAAACCCGTCTTCACAGGGGACCCACACAGAGAGAGACAACCTCTGGAAAGATGACGGCAGCCATACGAGTGCCTCAGAGCAGGCGGCCCTGCGTCAGTGGACACAGGGCTTGTCAGTATTTCCCTGGAGTGCATTTAGCAGAGATTATTTGAGAGAGACATATATTTCTGTAGGAGCTGTTAGTCTGACAGTGGTAAACGTTGCCTCTGAAAACAGGATCATAATCATAACATGATGAACACAATCATATTTTAGAAGGGGGTGGAAATCTGAGAGTACTCACATGAGAGCAGTAAAAATAATCAAAAGGTCAGAAAACGGGTCTGATGAGTAAAGGCTGATGGCTGAGCAAGGAGGGGAAACACCCTGAGTGGGCGTCTTTGAGGGCTGGGCCTAGGGAGGGCACAGGAGGGAGCAGAGAGGCAAGAATGGAAGATTATGCCGAAAAGGAAGCAGTGCATATTAAAACCAGAAAACACCTCGGAAACCATATTTGGAGGCCCACCTGATCTGACAGTTAGAATCCATGAGGCCAAGGCCCAGAAATCTGCTTTTTAAAAAAAAATCTCCAATTTTTTTAACTTGTTGATCACCAAAATGGAAGCCTGTGAATCAGTCCACCTCCTATTACAAACAGAACAGTGAGGTAGCTAGAAGGGAAAGAAAAAAACAAAAAGGCATTTTGATTTCATGCTGAATTAGAAATTAGGAAAGTCTGCTATGTGAATTCTGCAGCCAAGTCTCCAAATATCTCAAAGTATTGCTTGCCTGTCTTTCGCGTGATGTGGACCGGGGCACCATTTTGGGTCTCTGGTGTGGACACAAATCCGAGAAGCTTTGCAACCCCATCTCGTCGTGGTCCAGGGAGGTTAGCCAGGCCTAGTGTTTTACTGCAATCAGGAAGGCTGTGTACTTTTATTTCCCTCTGGACTTGGATATGTGCTTTTATTGTTCTCTTTAGATGCTTCTCAACTCAGCAAGAAAAGCCTCCCTTCCTCGGCACAGATTTAATTTGGCAGCATCCTTCACTGTTTTCCTTATCAAAGACGGCACTTGGGAAGAACCTATTTTGCCTAATGGAGTGCTTGGCACCGAGACCCCACAGGCAATCGCCCGAATGGTCAGCCTGTTTGTTGCACCTTCAGGGACACGTGCTGAATTCTGAGACCACGTTTTGAATAGTTAACACACTCGTCTTCCTCGTCTTGCTCCTCACTGGTCTCAATTGCTAACATTTTAAAGATGCTCGAAGTTCAGCTCTGAGGGTTTAAAAGATGGAAAGCCATGGGAGACCCTTGGAAGCCATCCCATTCACTCAAGCTGATAATAACTGGATGATAAACACACAGATTACTCTGCACTCCCAGGGAAATAAGACAGCACAGAGGAAGCAGAATCAATTGGCTCCGCTTTGCAGTTTGATGGTTCTATTAAAGAGGAACATGACTATGTCCTTGTATTTGTTAGCAAATCACTTTTTACCTACTTGATGTTCTTGCCTTTTGACCTAGGTAGCATTGAGTCCCAGATCTGCAGTGGACCTGTCTCTGCCGTGTACTGCTGACAAGTCACTTAGCTTTCTGGTTCTTGGTTTTCTCACCTTGAGATGAGAACAGCAATACCTACCATGTAGTGTAGCTGCGGGGATGAAACAAACACCTGTGGAACTCAATACACGTTAATGTCAAAGCTTTTCAAAGCATTGGGTGTTTAAACTCATTAGAGGACTGAGCATATATAGCGATGGTAGAACCAACTTTCTCTCAAGTAGCAGGAAAGCCAAGGCACCATTACATACTGGTGCTCTGGGCTTGTTTTCTTGTTTGTTTTTTTTTTAATCTCCCTCTTCCAGATCCCTCATCTGATATTTAAATTCTGGAAAATAATCAATAGGTAATGGTAACTGCAGAGGGAAGAAGATGGTTTGAAACCGTTAGAGAGCAAATTGCTTTGCTATCATAACAAAACCATCCAAGAGCCACCAGGAAGCAATGGGAGACACACCTTCCGTGAATTCCACAGTCTTCCACTGCTGCTGGAACCATTTAGACATCGAGATGAGAAACCACCCAGGGGAGACGGAGATTGCCTGAAATTCACCTGATTTGGGGGGGATCCTGTCCCACTACGTTCCTTCTTCTTCTGACCCTTTCTGCTGGTCCCTCTGGGACCCACCTTCCAACTGTACTTCCACGGGATTTTTCTCCATCAAGGGAACGCCAGTTTACCAGTTTTCTGAATCATCCTTTCTGGTCCCCAAATAAGTGGCCTGCTTGTTGTTTTTTTTTTTTTTCCTCCAAGTAGTTGATGCCCCTGGCAAGTGTTAGAGAAAGTCAAAATGGAAACAAAACAAAATGCACTGGGACAGTTAGGAGACCCCTCCCAATCTTCCTAAACTGAGTTGTTGGCCACGTGTCCTTCGGAATACAAGTAGGGCCAGGACTCAGTTGCCTACCTCTTACCTCAGCACAGTTGGAAAAGGGAGCTTCTCTTGTTGGAGAATCAAACCCTAGCCTATGTCCTGTGTGCACTGCTTACTTCCTGCAGCTCAGTCCTGGTCCCCTCAGCCCCTTCCTGAGGACTCCTGCCTTTAGTCTGCCACCTCTCCTCGTCCCTCTTGACAAGACAAAGGTGAACAGCAGCTCATTTATACCTCAGATAACATTCTCAGAGGCATTGCTCTCCCAAGTTCATACTTCATGTATCAAAGTCACTGCTTAATATCCAGAAAGTATCTTATAAGTCAAATAATTAAATGCACCCCTGAATGTAAAAATAGTGGAACATAAAAATTTGAGTTGATAAAAAATATATTTTGCAGAGAATATGAGTAATATTTAAGTAATTTCAGCTTATTCTTAATAGTAAAGATACAGGTCTTTTGTGTGGATTTTCTTTTAACTTGCAATCATAACCTAATCTTTTTTACAAATGCACACAGTATCTACCTGCCCAACTCAAATGCCAAATGGTAATTTCATGAGTTTTTTTGGTCTTCGTTTTTTCAGTATTAATCTTTCAAGTGTGTATTTTAATTTAATGTGTATATATACAAATAATAGAAAAAACAGGATGAAACAAAAATGTAGCGTAAGTTTTGATGCCACTTTATTAGTCTTTGCTAGAATTTTTCGAACTTTAAGGAAAACTGAGACCCTGCCATTCAAGCGGAATATCAAGTATGTGACGAAAAGGTAGAGTCGTGATGTTTAGAGACCTTTGGGTAGGAGTCGGGGTAGGCAGACTGCTGGCTCAGAGGGATCCCCGAACTTCCCAGGTTCCCAGGAGCACAGATTGAAAACCATGTGGGCTGTAAGGTGGTTAAGCTCAGCCACCCCTGTGAGCGACACCAGTGAGCGTTCACCAGGCAACACCCAGTGTCACGCTGCTGCCCGGTGGGCCACCATTTTCACCAACAGGAAATGACCCCTCCCAACTTACGGTCAGGAGTTAGCACCCCTCGATACTACAGCGTGACAGACACGGTGTCCTGCCCTGGGTATTTCTCCAAATTTCATGTGTGGTGCCCATGTCGACTGAAATAACATGCACAACCTAGAAGTTAAGAGTTACATTTCATTCGGCGGACATTTCTGAGGACTTCAGCCCTGGATGACAGCCTCTCAGATTGCTCTGGGGGGAGGGGCCAGGATATACAGGCATTTTTACAACAAAGACCAGGTAGTTAGAACATTAAAAGGTTACTGTTAATTAATGAGAACCAGATGGCTCAAGCTGGGGAATTCAGTGCTTTTCCACGTGAGGGAAGGCGCGAGGATCTGGGCTCACTGAAGGGCTCACGGTTCATTCTCATACTCATACTCACTCCTTTGATGAGCACCCAGCTGTCTAGGGCCAGTGTCCTGTGCTTTCCCATCCTGAGTCCCCTTAGGGGGCACCGCTGGGGGAGCTGCAGAGGCTGGGCTGCCTGCGTGTCTCCATCCTGAGTCCCCTCTGCTCATCGTCAGGGATGGTGGTAGTGGCTGAAGACTTAATCGCCACAGAATCCCTTGTTTGCTGATATGGCTGGCAATATTTTTCATTCACACCCAAATTGCCAAAACCCAAGGACAGTTTTCATTGCACACTCTAACGGACATCTTTGCAGAGCGTAACATCTATTGCTCTTTCTTATCACCCAGACTCCTGGGCTTCTGGGGGACACCTCTTTCCTGGATCTTCCTGGATCTCCTTGGAAATTACCGCATGTTTTGTTTCATTAAAGAGCGGGTCCCCTCTGGCTCCTCTCTTTAAACAGTGGTGATCTTGCGGGCTCCATCCTCAGGTCACCGCAGTCCTGCTGTCTCCCAAGTAAGGTCTCTGCCAGGGGAGCCCACGCCATCTCCAGATGTTGTCTGCTGTACCACCAGACACACACACGTGGGTCTCCCACGCGGTGCGCTCCCTCCCGGAAACATCAGACGCACGCTTGGAAGTACCTGCTGGTGCTGCTCGTGCAGGTTCTGAGGGGTCGCGTCCTACCCCGGGTTTCCCTGCGTCAGAGCCCTTAACAGCACCGCTCCTCAGCCCTCTCGGCCTCCTCTCTCACTCCTGGTTGGCGAGTTTGGGCAGAGATGTCAGACGATGTGGGGCTTCAGCTCTTCTGGGCCCCGCCTTGGGGCAGTCGTGTCTGCATCTTGCAGGTTCTCAGCTGCTCCGGGCCGTGCAAAGCAGGACTTAGGGGTGAGCCCACTGGACCATCCTCTTAGCGCCATCTTCCTGTAGAGCTCTTTAGTAAAGAACCTCACACTTGTGTCTCCAGGGAACTGGCCCTCTTCTTATCTCCCAAAGACCAAGCACGTCCACCTTCTCCCAGAGCTGTTCCTTCTCTCCATCACTCGCCTGTGTCAGAAACCCGGGGTCATTCTCAACAGCCTTCCGCTCCTAAGCCCTCCACCTCTAATTGGGCCTGAACCTTGGCTGCTCTTTCTCCAAACCTTCTCTTTCTGTTTCCATTACCAGTGCCCTGTCTCAGAGGTGAGTCCACTTGGCACACCGCAGTGATCTCCATGCCATGGTTTGAATCCCCAACCCCTCCCATCCCTGACCCTCCAAAGGCAGCTGAAGGCAGCTCCCAGGTGCCGGTGGGACCACACCAGCACCCATCAGATGCTCCTGTGGCTTCCCATTTGTCTTAGCTGCAGATCACAGAAGACAACTCAAAAGAGCTTAAGCCAACCAAGGAACCTACTGGCTCATTGGACTGGAATGTCCAGGGGTTGAGCTGGACTCCTGCTTGGCTGGATGTGCACACATTGTAATCTCTCTCCTTCCACAGAGAAAGCTCACAGCCTCAGTGGCTGAAGATGGCCTTTTCACAGGCTCCATCTGGTTCTCCATCTTCCCCCCACCAACTGTCATCCCATCTTTCCACTGTAGTCAATATTTATCAAACATAAATGTTCTTCTGTTACTCCATATACCTCTGTCCAGGCTGCCCCCTTGTCAAAAATGTGACTTTCATTTTTTCCCTCTGGCCAAGATTACCTGTCCTCAAAAACCCAACTCCTTTTATCCATCATCCCTCTTCTGTGGGGAACTGGACACACTACTCTGTCATCACTCACCTTCTTAAACCCAGCTCCCGGCACATCAAGAGCTGTGCGGAAACTCCTCGTGGAGGAAACCCAGCCTCCAGGAGGAATCCCTAAGCCATCTGATCAGGGACCTGTCTTCTTGGTCTTCTGGAAATAAACAGAAATGCTTAGCATTGTTCGCATGTCTTCAGTGGGAGTTCACTGCACACAACTGAGCTGCTGCAGGTCAGATTGTTCAAGTTACAGAGAGAGCAAGAAAGGTCACGACCAAGGCCATGGAAACTGTTCCTAGTGAAAGGGAAGCAGGCATTTTACAAAGTCTGTCCATGAGACGGGGAATCGCCCTCTATAGAAATCAGTAACTACTTACAGTCTGTGCTGAGAGTGTTTTGAGGGATCGACAATGCACACATGGAAAACGCTCATAGGCCAAAAAAAAAAAAAACAAAACCATAAACTGAGGAAACAAAAGAACACAACCCAGACATCATGGAGAAACACAGTGTGGGCACAGAGAGGATTTGGATCTGGGAGGCTGGACCCCGGAGGGCCCTCAGCATCCACACAGGTCTAGGGGGCGGCACACGTCAGAGCTCGATGCCCAAGCTCACGATGCAGAGGACAAGGGGGGCCCGTCTGGGCTGGGGCTGCACGTGATGAAGCACGCTCAGTCCTCACTGCCCGCGTGGGCTTGGTTATCGGCAAGCACTTTGGCCTTTTCATAGGTAACTGAGTTAAAAAATGAATAAAAACTGCTCTGAAATTGCTATTTAGGCAAACTGGATGGATTCTGCAGAAAGTCAATGGTTTTATCTTCAGAACATTGACACTGGTTTCGACAAATGCCTGGTTCTACCAGCATCTTTCCTTTTGAAGGCTCTGCACCTAATTCTTTCCTCTCCTCTGACTTTTTCATACCCATTTCCTTCAGGGTACAAGTCTTGGGTGGTCCTCTGGAACATACTGTTCCTAATCCCGGCCAGCTTTCTTTTCTTGTTGGGCTAGGAGAGGAAAAAAACTTACTTTTTAAGTTACCCTCTCTTTGTCGTGTGCAAGATCCACTCATATTAATTAATTAGTAGACCTAATATTAACACCTCTTCAATGTCTTCCCTTATCTGGGATTAAAAGTAACCTATTATCTCCCTTCTGTTGTATGCTTTTGTAAAAGGATAAACAATCAGAAAATTGTCCTTGTAGTGCCTAGCTCCCATGTTGCATTTGAGTGATTTTGTTTTTTAGCCTGAAATTCAGGGAACGGGTATACTGGCTTCCTGCACTTTTTCCCTGTGCTCAGCATCTCTCTTCTCTGCATGGACATGTCCCCAAGGACACCCAAAGCTACACCCATAGAGTCCTGAGGGCTACGTTTGGGCACTGCAGCTGGCGTGCCCTAGGGAGGCCCCCACGTGCCCCGCTGAGAAGGGCGCAGGCACACGGCGAACGTCAGGGCAGAGTGTCCCTGGTGACGCCGCAGGGAGGAGCAGGCCAGGGAGCTGGAGCTTCCAGGCACGAGGGAGTGGAGGACCGCAGCTGTGATGCATCTGAGCGGCCCCTGACACATGGGCTGATTAAATTAAAATTGTTGGCACAGAAACATGGCCAAGTGTCACGCGTCCGGTATGAATCAAGGCCTCCTAGCCTGGCTTGCTCATGAATCAAGTCCTGCCTTCTTGGAGGTGATGGTTATATGATCTCCCTGAACTCTGGCTCTCTTGTGAGATTAACAGGATGCTTTCGCCTGCGCCCTGAGACTCGTCCCGACCCTGCTCTCTGTGCCTCGTGGCCTGTTCTCCTTCGCTTGCTCTTCCATTTATCTCCAAAAAAAATTCGCCAGATTGTGATCACCTCGCCCCCTTCAGAGTCAAACTCTCATTTTGTAATAAAGTTTTAAAAAACCCACAGTTCATATGGTTTTTCAAAGTTACCTCTCCAGCTCTGGCAAAAAGGAGTGGATGCCGCCGAAGCCCCGGGACGTCGTTGAGAAGCCGCTGAGTGCCCGGAGGCAAACACTTCAGTGACAAGTCCCCACCCTGCGCCAAGTCTTCAACCCAGATGAGGCCAGGACGCCCTACGGCTGGCAGCAGGTGGACCGCTGTCCTCCGTCAGCCCCTGGGGGCCTCGTTAAGCACGGCCCGCCCCCTGACCGTGGCCTCTCTGCGCCGCACCCACTGGCCGGCAGTGCTAGGGCTGAGACTCAAGATCTGAGGGGTGCGGGGGGCGCCCCGTGCTGCCTCCTACTTGTCGCACCCCTGCCTACGTGGTCCACGCGACCCACATGTCCTTCCAGCCTGCCCTCCCGCTCCGTGTCTGCCAAGCGCCCACCTCTTTTTAGCCTCAGTGTCCACTTCGGTTTGCTTCTTCTCCAAGCTCTGCTCCAGGAAAAACTGCTCGTTTCTCGGCCTCCTTCAGCCTCGCACACTTGTCCCTTAGCCCTTGCTTTCCACGCAGCGCTGTAATGTTTCTCCCTGGGGCTGCCTCCCCACGACGGCGAGGTTTTGCAAGACCTGGAGAGGAAGGGTTCTCATCACCCCTCATCCCGCCGATGAGGGAGGATTCCTGCCCCCGGGTTACAGGAAAGGCCAAATACCCGACGCCCGGCAGGTGGAATCAGTGTTGACTTTTAGTCACGTGGACTCACAGCCCCGGGGCGGAGGGCACTGCATGGCACAGGACACCCGGAGCCACACGGGGTTGTGCTCAGAGCAGAGGAGTAATTGCAGCAGTGGGGGCCAGCTCTGCAGTCACGAGGGCGAGGTGGCCTCTGGCTCCCGAGGGAAGATGTGATGGGCTCCTCCAGTTTCACGGGCTGGCAGGACCTGGTGCCCGCTCCTCGGGGAGAGGTAGGCACTGCGCGTGGTCCCTCGGGAAGGGGCTGCTGCCGAGGCTCTCTGCCCAGGGAGCAGAGCGAGGAGGGGCGTGTGCTGAGGACGTCCGGTCACCCCAAGTCGCACCGGCTGTCCAGCAGAACCCATACGGGGCCTACGTTTTAGGTCTTAGGCCACAGTTGTCACCTAAATGCACTGGAGCATCTGGCTAGGAGCCCTGTGAAGACCTAAACGCTTGTATCATTTGTTTTGCCCTCCCTTGTGCTCCTCCACATTGTAGCCTGGAAGGCTGCGAAGATCTCATATTTGGCACGTCGGGGAACCTGAGATTAGTGAGAACTCCCTCCGGTGTGTGGCAGGCCAAGGGTTTTCCAGAGGGGGTGGACATCTGGATGTCAACAGCTGGCTTTGTTCTTTTCCCATATTCATTTTCTGGACATGACAGCATTTTTAAAGTAGCCACAGAATTAAATTTCAGTTACTTCTAATCATTTGTTAAAGGTGTCAGAGCATTTCCCAGCAGAGCTGAGGGCTGGAGAGTCGTCCTGGATGGGGAGTGCTCTGGGCACCTCTGCCTAGCGCTCAGAAGGGTCAGCATCTCGTGTCCACTTGGACGCTAGTCCTGGGTCTGCCGCCTTTCAGCTTTGAGACCTCAGACAAGTGACATCAGTTTTCCTGCCTGCAGAATGGGCACGATGACACTAGTACCTGCCTCACTGGGTGGTGCTGAGAATAAACTGTGAAAACACAAGCAAAGCAGTGAATGCAGGACTGCCAAGTCAGTGCGTCCGCAGGGGCTGCCATTCTGACGCGAGCAGAAAATTCACACTCCCTGGCACCTCAGAGCATGACCTTATCTGGAAATTGGGTCTTTGCAGATGTAACTAAGGTGAGCGTTGAGGAGAGATCGTCCTGGATGAGGGTGTGATTAACCCAGTGACAGTGTCCTTCCAAGAAACAGGCAGATTTGGACACTGGGAGACACAGGGAGGCAGAGAATGAGATGTGAAAGCAGAAATCAAAATCGGAGGGAGGCAGCCACAAGCCAGGGAATGCAGAGGACTGCCAGCAACCAGCAGCAGCCGGAGGGCCAAGGAGGACCCCTCCCCTGGAGCCGTGGGGAGACAGTGGTGCTGCCAATGCCTTGATTTTGGGCTTCTGGCCTCCAGGACTGTGAGGGATGCGACCCTGTTGGTTTAAGCCATGCCAATTGTGGCAACCTGTTAGGGCAGCCTTAGGAAGCTGATAAAATGTGATGCGATGCGAGGTGCTTGGGGATAAAACAGACTAAACTCTCCTGGGACCGTGTTCTTGAGAACCAGCCTGTTGGGATAACCACTCGTCCAACAAAGGTTTATTAAGGGTCTGCCACGTGCCAGGCACTACTATGGAAATGAGTGAAACGGCGGGAACCCAGCACCCGGAGCTGGTGGGGCGGACCCCAGGCTTCAGCCGGCCTGCTCTGCTCCCTGATGCGGGACACAGGCTCACCCGGAGCGGCCGGCTCCCCGGGCATGGGTGCTGGTCTAGGTGCCTGCCGCACGAGGCGGGTGTGTGCGCAGAGCTGCGCGGGCACAGCAGGGCTGGGGCAGGAGCCCAGGCCGGACGCCCACTCCTGGGCCGATGGGACTTCAGCTG